GATGAGTTAATATCACAAACTGTCGTAATTGAAATATTATTCCCATTAGCAACCTGAATATGTTGAGTATCAGTGTATGGTCGTTGGTTATGTAATAGCTCAACAGTGCTAGTCATATGATTTGTGGCCCCTGAATCAACAAACCAAGGAAAAGTAATCGAAGAAATAGTTTTACCTTTCCCTTGAAGGCCGAGAGCAGAAAATGCAGAGATAATCATCTGTTGAACCATATAGGGTGTGACAGTTGATTGATTATTGTCAGCAACAGTAGTAGTTGAGGCAGGATTGTCGGATACCGTGGCATGAAGTACTTGTGGTTTGCGATTTTGGGGTCGTGTTGGGCATTCCTTAAGAGTATGTCCCTTTTGCTTACAATAATTACATAGCTTATTTTCACAATTCCGTGCAATATGACCAAATTTCTTGTAGCTGTAGCACTGCACTGGCCCCTTCCCTTTGGTCTTAGCAGCATATGCCACATTAATTATTTCTGATGATCCACCTGTTGTACTGATAGTAGCTTGTGTTGCCAATCTTTATTCTTCGAGCAATAATTGCCCAAAACAAACATCCAAACACGGAACTGGATCTCTGTTCAGCAACCCAACTCGAGCAATCTCAAATTCAGGTCTCAGTTTCATTAAAAACTTATCACGACGACTTTATTCATGAATAGCTTGAAAACTAGCTAAGTCATCTTTTGACACTTTAGCATTAGATAATACCAGTATATATATTCGCTCCATAAATTTAAAAAACCAGAATAATATTGTTCAATTGAAAGATTACCCTGACTATAATTATTCATGTCAAGTTCCAATTGGAAGCGTTTCGCAGAATTATCTTGATTATAAACGGGCTTCAAATATTCTCACATTTCTTTAACTGTGCTAAATGATCGTAAATTGTTTACCATGTGAGCCTCAATAGATCCCAAAATACAGGAAATAATTCGAGCATCTTTTGCTTCCCATGGACCAAGATCTTTTGTCTCACAGTGCTAGAGAAGACTTATCAATATAGCCCTAAAGCTCCTTCCCTTTTAAGAATATTCTGAGCTGAAATTCTCATGCGACATAATTCTTTCCCGTAAATCTGATAGCTAAGATTTCAGAAGACATTTTAAATATATTAATTTCGATCAAAATATCCAAGATAAATAAAATTCAAAGGCTAGGTCTAAGATCTAAGAATGTCGCGAGGTTTGAATAGGTCATGATCGAGACGATCGAAAGCGGTGGATCAAGCGGATCCCGCCAGTTTGCTGCAGTAGCGGATCACGACAGTTTTGGAACAAGCAGATCACAAATACGGCAGTTTTGGAACGAGCGGATCACGGCAGTTTGCTGCAGTAGCGGCAGATTACAGTAGTAGCGGCTGTAGCGGCAGATCATAGTAGTGGCAGGAGCAAACCAGATGCACCAGAATATCGCGGCAGAACGAGCGACAATCACAAGAAGCGAGCGGATTGCGGCGGATCGCACAGAAGCGAGCAACCTGATCGCGACAAATCGCGGCAGGGGCGAACGAGATGCCACACCAGAGATCGGATAGGAGGAGCGAGCGCATGAAGCTAGCAAATCGCAGCAGAACGAAGTATCAGAAGATGCGGGATGAAGAAGATGCCATGGAACACAGCACTAGAGGTCCGATCGAAGGAGCAGCGACAGAACTCAAACAAAGCGGACGAAGACGCCGCAGAACTCAAAGACAAGAACGAGCGCTCCAGTGAGGAAGCAGTCGATGATGCTAACCAAAGATAACAAAAACTAAAATCTAAAGGATTCAGGCTCTGATACCATGACAATATTTTGAGCAAATAGGCTTAATGCCTTTTCCTTTGCTTTCATTCCAATAAATAGTAGTTTGTACAATCTATTTTAGGTACATAATATTCAGTATATTCTAAATTAAGTAACTTAATTTGGGAAATTAAATAAATTATTTTATAATCATCCCAACCCATCCTATGGGCTCAACCCCCGCTAGGTCTCGGGGCGACCCGGTATACAAATAATTCACGTATCATCTAGCTTGAGGCGACACTGCGCCACCAAGAGATTCGAACTCATGACCTGAAACTCTTTATTCTGTCTGATTTCTTTTATTCCTTATTCCACCAAGAGATTCGAACTCATGATCTGAGGAAACTTACGAACTTCAGATAGACTGCGCTACCAACAGGCCACGGAACACGTTACAAGATAATCTAACTTTATGAATTTCTATCTAAGGAGTAAGCATGACATACCTTGAAATAATCCCACTCTTCTACACGCAAATGATGGCAATGCCATCCAAATTATTGCTGATTCAGTTAATCTTAATTCATAAGCGAATTAAATATATTCAAAATAACTATTACTCAATTTAAGAAACTTTCAGTAATCATATTATTCTCTTCCTCATATCTCCACAACTTCTTAAGTTGCAAACATATCCACAAAGATGATGATGCCGCATACATCAATTTCTTGTGACTAAATTAGAACTTTCTTTAACAAATCAATACCAATTTAAGCGGAGATATCGATATTATATGCATTAAAGAGGTACTGATTCTAGCTTTCAATTATCGCCTACCTATAAAATTATGACTAGAAATAGGAATAATCAATTGATATAATTGCAAATATTTATTCGAATAAAGATAGAGCAAATTATGTAATTGTTATCTCACATGCTAGTTTTATCATATGATGAGTAGAATAATTTTATTGGTCTAGTGTTTGATAAAAGACAAGAAACCCAATAGGCAGCGTCGTCAAGGAAATCGTCATGTCCTCCCTCAGTCTGATCATTTCTCTGCCCCACTTCCCTTCTAAAAGCCAAAGCCTCACTTCCACGCTGAACGCCATGCATTAATCTATTCTTTGTGAGGCGTTATCTCTCCTCACACTACAATATAATACTTCTTCCTCGGCCAGCTCCTCTGTTCCTCCTCCTCAGCTTTCTGCTTGATATTGAAGTCACAGGGGAGAAACAGTACACTGGAAAGAGGAGTTGAAGAAAAAAACAGTGGTTTATAGTGCTGTATTGCACACTTGCCCCAGTTAAACATGTTTGATTTAGCACGTAAGCATTTCATTTCCCCTATATTCTGTATGTTAATTGTATATAGTAATTCAACAGGAAAAGATTCTTCTTTTAACCAAGGAAATACGTATATTCTTAGTTTTTTAAGCTAAGAATCATGAAAAGAGTCGTATATCAACTAATTAACCCTCTTTTTTTTCCTAAGCTAATGAGACCTTATTCCTTATTTCTAAAATAGGAACAGAGGAGCTATAAAACCAGAACACAGTTTTAACTATGCAGCAAGATCGATCATTCATTTTATGAAATTTGTTTTGAGTTTCTGTTTCACTGCAATACTGATTTTTTTAGCCTAATAAAATCTGTTCGGTTAAGAAGAAAAATAATGGTGATGTTAATATATATGACAGGATTGCTTCTTACTTGCCATTTAATATCCTCATGCTGCTTCCTTCATTCTGCAGGAAGTTGATGTGACAAGCTATTCTTTGACCTTTTTACCTCATTCTGAAGGAAAAATGTTTCTCCGACATCATCGATTCAGTCTCATAATTTATGATTTATAGCTCAACATTAGGAAAAAAAAAACATCTTCTATTCATGTCCTATTATCAGGCATCAACCATGAAAGAGCAAATGAAGCACATCAGTATAGAAGAACATGATGACGTTTTATAGTTTATATCCACCGTTTTGAGGGTTCAACTGCACGAATCAAGAAAGTGTAGATTTCGGGTTCATGGAAATCATTTAATTAAACTTTTACTTTCATTTATAATTTTTCATGCAAGAGATCTTAAGGTTCCATCTTCAAAACATTGAAAGGAGTCTCTAAAAAAGAGAACAATAAGAAGTGAAAAAAAACTAATTAAAGTTTTGGGCCGCATGATGTTAAGACTAATAAAAGTGTTGCTCTATACATATACAGAGAGAGAGAGAGAGAGAGAGAGAGAGAGAGAGAGAGAGAGAGAGAGAGAGAGAGAGAGAGAGAGAGAGAGAGAGAGAGAGAGAGAGAGAGAGAGAGAGAGAGGTTTACAGTTATAGTTAAATATTTATCCTATATTGATTTTACTGAGCAATGGATACCTAAACAGATTAATAATGCACTACTATATCCAAATGCCAAAAGTATATAAAGAGTAACTGGCCAATCTGGCTCAATTTTCTTCAGAACCTATAAATAGAAAAATAATTTGGTAAAAGTAGCCAGTAATGTTTTACTTTTATGTTGCTAGTCATGGCTGCCAATTTTACACTGATTCAATGGACCTTTAAAACTTAAAAGATAAACAAGATAGCTACAAAAACTATAATAGATACAAAAAATACAAGAAAATTTAGCTTGCACACACAACTTGCATGATAGACTGGTCCACTCTACAACAGATAAAAGCGTAAAGACAAAATACTAAAGAAAACTTACCCACCGATAGAATTCATCGATATGGTAAAGAGTGAAAAACTTGTTTCTTGTATTAATGACGCAATATAATAAAGACTGAGGTGAATTGTTAGTACTCAGCAATAATACCTAAAAGAAGAGGTAACTGGGCTATGTGGAGATAAAAGTGTGCCAGAAAACGAGTAGTTGTGCAGAAAGACGAGCATATAGAGGTGCAAACTTCGATTAATAAGCCATCATATACTACAGACCAATCTGTTTATTGGAGTGATTTAAACCTCTTCAAGAGATTTGGGTCAAGGTGTTATCGGTCAAACGTGGAAATCTACTTACCTTGTACTTGGAATATCCTAAAGATAGATTCCGCCATAACAAAATGGGTTTGAATCAAATGACCCTGATCTGAATTCCATAGCCAGTGTGTGTAATTACCTGAGTTGGTGGATGAAAATTCATTCTCAACAAGAAAAGATAAAGACTGTATGAGCTAGGCAACATTTCATCTAAAAATGAACCTTCTACAAATTCAATACTGTATAACAGATTAGTGATAACCTACACATTGCTAGAAATAATGTGCTGTATGACACTCTAAGCTATACTCAATACAATCAAACATGTTTACTATATCAGCATGCAAGTATTGTTTGAATTCAATGCATTTAGGAAACTCCTGCAAGGCATTTAACGAGTAGGTTTCTTCCATAACTTAGAAAAAGGTTAAGTTTGACAAGAGACACTGGTGTTTAACTTCATTGCAACCTAAAAACTCATTATCTAGACCTTCTATCCATAAAAATTTGCTGCAGGACCTTATAAGCGAATGAAAACATGTTTGATTTGCATTGAGCATGGCCATAATGGCCGAAGAGGAAACAAAACAAAAGAATATTACCTCCATACATAAATTGTGAAGAAAAGAATTATATAATGTTTATTTCCTGAATGCTGTAAGCTTTCAATAATTCAATATTAATTTCAACTACTAAGATGCACTTTTGACAATGTAGTTTGGGTGCAAAATTATGTTATCATGTTACGTGTTATAAATAAATCAATGACGTAAAATGATTTTGGACATCTTTATTTCCCACCATCAATCAGAAATGTCCCAACTATAGGGAAAAAACAATGTTTTGACAGTTTTTTTTGCCAACTCTAACCTCTCAATGTCATTTTGATTTCTCAGATTATGTAAAAAGGGTTTCTTCGTGCTCTGCAGGATTCCGGCTGAATTCTTATTGGAAAGAATGGTTGCAGACGAGTTCCCCATGCTTTTGGAAGAACATTTTCATATTCCTTAATCTCTTTTTCCTGGTTTTATTTTCAGCTCAGTTCATCTTTAAAATAATTCTTGACCGTAATGCACGAAAAACAAAGTACAATGAGGAAGAACAAAAATGTTCAGTAGAAAAAGCTATTCCTGGAAACATAAGAGTTGGAAATTCATACCAAGTCTGCAAATGGTCTTGCTCAGCGATTCTGCTCTGCCAAATTCTCGAGCTCCTATTATTCCCATCAAATAAATATGACGGTCAATGTGAACTCTCAGTCAAATTTTTTTCTGAAATAATGAAGGCGCTATCATGCATTATTATGCTGGTAGGCATTTTCACTTTCAGGAGAAAAGCCACCATCATAATCCCCTGGACAATTAGATTATTATGCCTGAGTATCTTCCTCGAGTTTGCAACCAGCTTATTTTTTAAACTGCAGTTTATCCTTTCACACAAGTTGAAGATGGGAGCAAGAGAACTTTTAAATATGATTGCTCTCTTTTCCTGCATGTGCCTGACAGCAATGTCAGTCAGGGGACAAACAGGGATCAGCGTCACCTCAAGCAGTGTAAATGAACCGCTGCTGAATGGTTCTGTGGAGAAACAAACAGAAACTAAAAGAGAATGCCCGTATGGGAGAGCAAGTCTTTCTGAACTCGTTACTTTCTCCTGGCTCAACCCATTATTTTCCATTGGAATCAAGAAACCACTGGAACAACATGAAGTGCCTGATATTGATGTAAAAGATTCTGCGGAGTTCCTATCACAATCTTTTGATGAGTGCCTTGAAAGAGTG